CAATAGAAGCCTATTAGCAGTGCATGACTCAGCTATATTACATTACAATACATTGTAAAACCTGACAGGAATGATGTCCAGGATGGAAGAAAGAACTCTTGTCTGTTGGAAGTCGGTGTGAGTGTTACAATTGGCCACCTTGATTAGCATTTGATGGCCTGACCGTTTTTTGGTGTGACTTGCTACTGCCTGGGGGAATCCTTTGTTGAGAGGTGATTAAAACCTACAACAACCCAGTGATTCCGGTCATGAAAGCCTTCGACAATAGGTTGGATATGTCTTCAGTAAAACTGAGACATCACCTCCCAAGTGCCACTTGGGAACACATTTGCTAAAACTGAATCAACAAGAGAGTTGAGTTTGGATAGCATTTTGCCCAAGGTATGGTTTTGGACCAAAAAAGTGATTTTCCATCCCCTCCCCCAGACATTATAAAAACAAGATTGACAGCAAAGGGCCGTCCCCTTTGCTGTCAATCTGAGACATTTTCCTCCCTTGATGGGGTCCCTATCCTCACCTGGCCTACTTCAGGGGTCCGGAAAGCCGTGTCCATTCTTGGCCCTCCTCTGTACTTTTCCTTTACAGTGAATCCTGGCTTTTGCCCCAGGAGAGACAATGCCACAGTCTTCACAACGCACTGTTCATGGGACTTGGATTGTGCCTTGGATGAGAAGTGTTGCCCCAGTGAAGGACGGAGAAGATGCACCAAAGCCTTGCCAGGTAAAGATCCTTCTGGAGAGGTGGACCCAGAGGCAGCCAGCACCCCACATTGCCCTGCTATCTAGAACTTCAAAAGAGGTAGCAAGGCTGCTCCTTGAAATCCATAGGTTGTTGGAGAACTTCACCCTACTTCTCCCTCATAGAGGACATTCCTCACTCCTTCAATGCCTCTTTGTTGACTTAATCCATTGGATCAATGGCCAAAATCTGGTGCAGCCTCAAAGCAGCATGGGTGCACCCAAGGGCCACTGCTTTCTCCCCCAGCCCAAGCTTCCAGACCCAAGGAGGACACCATCAAAGCTATGCCAGATACTTTCTTACTTAGGCGATCCCTCGTAGTCCGAGGATGATGGTCCTCCAAGTTCGGTATCCTGGGAGTGGGTTCGTAGATGGCTGTGGAGCCCTATTCTTGCTCTGCAACTTCTTCCGCAGTGAGGGCATTGGTTTCCAGGTGGAAGGCGGTCCTGGTCGGGGTTGGCTTGACTCGCCTTCTTCTTGGCATGTTTCCCTCTTTCACCCTCCATTCGTGCCTCTTCAAATTCTGCAGCACTGCTGGTCACAGCTGACCTCCAGCTGGAGTGCTCAAGGGCCAGGGCTTCCCAGTTCTCAGTGTCTATGTCAGAGTTTTTAAGGCTGGCTTTGAGCCCATCTTTAAATCTCTCTTCCTGCCCACCAACGTTCCATTTTCCATTCTTGAGTTCGGAGTAGAGCAACTGCTTTGGGAGACAGTGGTCGGGCATCCGGACAACGTGGCTGGTCCAGCAGAGTTGATGGCGGAGGACCATTGCTTCGATGCTGGTGGTCTTTGCTTCTTCCAGCACGCTGACGTATCCCAGATAATGGTCCTGCTGGATGAACAGTGACTTCACCACATTGCCAGGGACTCTGCCAAACAGACCTCCTTTAAAAGACTCTACTCTACATGTGTGTCAATGTCCAAAGGGCCACTACTGTCTTCCTTCACCGAAGCCCATAGAGTCGTGGGGAACCTCACCCTGCTTGTCAGTCATAGAGAGCATTCCCTCAATCCTTCACTGCCTCTTTGTTGGGTTAATCCATTTGGGTCAATGGCGAAAGTCTGATGCACCTTCAATGCACCTTCAATGTGTGTCAGGGTGACCCTGTTCCTGCATTCTGATCTCAAGGGATGACATTGGGGCCTAAGGGAGAAGGGGACACGAGGCTTCCAGTGCCTAGTATTGACTGATGCCCCCATTTTGCCTGCCTACCTTTCCTTAAGAGGATTCTGGGTCAACTCTTTATGGGAAGGAGCTTCTGCTTGTGTCTCTTGCTAATTCCTCCCACTTCTGCAGCCAACCCTGGCCTTTGTCCCAAGAAGAGCCTCTCGCGGGTGTCCAGTCCTTGTGAAGGTGAATGCATAGATGACCAGTCTTGTCCCAAGGGGGAAAAGTGCTGCTTTGTTAACTGTGGGCTGAAGTGTGTCCCCCCAGAGAGCCATCACAGTGGAGAACCAGTGGAACTGGATCGGGATCCCTCACTGGAAGTGGGACACGGAGGTGAGTTGTGGGTCGGAAAGAGTAGTTTTTGCTCGACCCTACTCTCTAGGACATTGGTGCCAGGCCAAAGGGTTGGGGGGCTTCTTGCAATTCCCACTCCCTTGCTTTGTCTTGCACAAATTCAGGCTCTTCCCTTCAATATGTTCATTTTAAAAACTTAAAGGAATATGGATATAATGTCATATCATTGCTTATCTGCACAGCAGGAAAAATTCTGATTTATTTGTTTACTAGCCGTCCCCTGCCAGTTGCTGTGGCCCAGTCTGGTGATCTGGAAAATAAAGTAATGAGAAAGTGTTGGTTTCTAATATATGCAATTTCTTTATGCTTGTGGGTAAACAGCACTTCTTGCTGTTTCTTTGTCAGTGTTGATGTGGAGATTGTCTGGTTTGCCTACTCTGGAACATGCAACATATAATTGTCCTTCTTTAGGGGTCCCTTTCAAATCTATGATACTATATGTCCCTGTGTGTGAATCATATCTATCTATCTATATCTATGGCTGGATGGCTCTTTGTCGGGAGGGCTTTGATTACGTTTTCTTGTCCTGGTGAAGGGAGTTGTACTGGATGGTCTTAAGTATTTTCTGTTGGGTCATGGGGGTTCTGTGTGGGAAGCTTGTCCCAATTCTGTCATTTGTGGGGTTCAGAATGCTCTTTGATTGTAGGTGAACTATAAATCCCAGCAACTACAACTCCCAAATGTCAAGGTCTATTTCCCCAAACTCCACCAGTGTTCACATTTGGGCATATGGAGTATTCATGCCAAGTTTGGTCCAGATCCATCATTGTTTGAGTCCACAGTGCTCTCTGGATGTAGGTGAACTAGAACTCCAAAACTCAAGGTCAATGCCCACCAAAACCCTTCCAGTATTTTCTGTTGGTCATGGGAGTTCTGTGTGCCAAGTTTGGTTCAATTCCATCATTGGTGGAGTTCAGAATGCTCTTTGATTGTAGGTGAACTATAAATCCCAGCAACTACAACTCCCAAATGTCAAGGCCTATTTTCCCCAAACTCCACCAGCGTGCACATTTGGGCATATGGAGTATTTGTGCCAAGTTTGGTCCAGATCCATCACTGTTTAAGTCCACAGTGCTCTCTGGATGTAGGTGAACTACAACTCCCAAAACTCAAGGTCAATGCCCACCAAACCCTTTCCAGTATTTTCTGTTGGTCATGGGAGTTCTGTGTGCCAAGTTTGATTCCTATCATTGGTGAAGCTGAGAATGCTCTTTGATTGTAGGTGAACTATAAATCCCAGCAACTACAACTCCCAAATGTCAAGGTCTATTTCCCCCAAAGTCCATCTGTGTTCACATTTGGGCATATGGAGTATTCTTGCCAAGTTTGGTCCAGATCCATCCTTGTTTGAGTCCACAGTGCTCTCTGGATGTAGGTGAACTACAACTCCAAAACTCAAGGTCAATGCCCACCAAACCCTTCTAGTGTTTTCTGTTTGGTCATGGGAGTTCTGTATGCCACATTTGGTTCAATTCCATCATTGGTGGAGTCATGGGTGGAGTTCAGAATGCTTTTTGATTGTAGGTGAACAATAAATCCCAGCAACTACAACTCCCAAATGACAAAATCAAAAAAAAATATGAGTGAAGGACATACATTGGGTTGTTAGGTATATGCTGTCCAAATTTGGTGTCAATTCATCCAGTGGTTTTAGAGTTGTTAATCCCACAAATGAACATTACATTTTTATTTATATAGATAGATGTATTTATGTTTCTCTCTGAATCTGTCCATCAGGTTTGTCCCATCTTTGCATACATGTTCATTCCACCCATAGGTTGCATTATGCACTTTCTTCCTTCTGGGAATAAGCCATGTCCTTCCCTTTCTCCCACTGAAATAATTGTGGTCATCTCTTGCCTTGAAAAGTGCCACTGCCTGTTGTGACCTTCCATTTCCTTTTCTGCATTTGGACTGTGATGCCTGTAGAACCCTTCATGGTCCTTCTCTCCACTATAAGGGATTCAGCAGAAACATCTCACTGGTTCCTTCAAAGTCTATTATTGCTGAACTTTTGTTCTCCACTTTATCTCCCTCCTAGTAGCATTCTTCTTCTTTCTTCCAGATATCTGCCTCCTTCCTCCTAAACAAGGAGACTGTGATGCCCACATGCCCCGATTCTTCTATAATTCAACCTCTGGGAAGTGTGAGAAATTCATTTTTGGGGGCTGTGGGGGGAATGAGAACAACTTCATGACGCGGGAGGAATGTTACCATGCCTGCTTTGACAGAGGTGAGAGCCAGAAGATGATGAATGCGATTGTCCTGCTACTTGGCAGAATGAGGTTGGACTGGGTGGCCCACAAGGTCTGTTCCAAATCTATGATTCTATAATTCTAATGGGCCATTGTGGACTTGTTGGATAATGGAAGAGGAATTTATAGCTAGACATTCATCCAGATGTTGCTTCTGACTTGGACTGGTCCACAAAATTGTTGCAATGACAGGAGCAAGTTCAGGTGGAGTTCTGGTGGAGATAGAGATCAGAAGGCAATGGGGTGGTCCTATGACTCATCTGGACTAGTTTAACCAGGAAAATTGTTCAAGGAAGAATCCATCTTCAGATTCAGCCAAATTTTGCATCTATCTGGATGGTTTTTCAGCCAACCAGAAGATGACGTGGGTTTCTTGAATAGCTGTCAGATGAAATAAAAAATGTTATGCATTTTCCAATTGTGTTATGTCAGCACTTTGGAGTGCTTTCTCCACTGACATCCTCTCTGACCACTGAGAATAAAGCTCTGCTTTTTCCTTCTACCCATCTGTGTCCGATTTGGCCTTCTGGGAAGCTATTCATACTGGATCCCCAAACCCGTGGTTTTTGCAGAGCTGAAATTACTGAACATGACCACAAAGGAAAAGATGGGGATTCACCATAAGTAGAGGAAGAATTTGAATCAAATACAGATAGACCAGTGGTTCTCAACCTGTGTGTCCTCCCAGATGTTTTTGGCCTACAACTCCCAGAAATCCCAGCTAGTTTACCAGATGTTAGGATTTCTGGGAGTTGTAGGCCAAAAACATCTGGGGACCCCAGGTTGAGAACCACTGAGATAGACATTCATCCAAATGTTGCTTTTCACCTGGACCTGTTAACGTGGTCATGGCCAGAACATGCACTCTCACCTCAGTTCAGGTGCAGGTGAGGGGCAGAAGGTAATGAGATGATCCTAATTCTCATTTAGACCAGTTTGGCAAGGAAGAAATCGTTTTAAGATACAGCCCAAGATTGTGTCGCTGGTGGACATCTTCACCTGCTCATTTGAAAGAGAAGAACCAGCACTCCCACCTCAATATGAACATTATGCTCCATAGTAATAAACTACAGCATGTGGGGAACATCACCATTCTTCGAGCAATGAACTCAAGAGGAAATGATGGGCTCACCTGTATTGTCGAAGGCTTTCATGGCTGGAATCACTGGGTTGTTGTAGGTTTTTTTCGGGCTATATGGTCATGGTCTAGAGGCATTCTCTCCTGACGTTTTGCCTGCATCTATGGCAAGCATCCTCAGAGGAAGTGAGGTCATCCTCACTACCAAGCATCCTCACTACCTCTGAGGATGCTTGCCATAGATGCAGGCGAAACGTCAGGAGAGAATGCCTCTAGACCATGGATGTATAGCCTGAAAAAACCTACAACAACCCGATGTGCTCACAATTTTTCAACTTGTTGTAAAATTTCAATTGATTGTTGTGGTGGTGGTGGTGATGGTTTCCTAGCAGCCTTGGGAGACTCAACAACCCAAACAAATGCATGCAACATGGGAGTATAAATCTGAGTCTCCTTGTGCCACTTTCTGCTTCCTCTTTGCTCTGTCCCCCTAGGACTTCTCCATGACCCTTTTTCTCATTCCCAGCATTGTCCAAACCTGGCAACTGCCCAAGGAGGACGGTTCCTGCTCTTCCAAGGTCCTCCAAGGCCTACTGTGCATACGATGCATCTTGCCCAGGAGATCAGAAGTGTTGTCACATTGGAAATATCAAGAGATGTGCCCTCCCTGTTGGAGGTAGGCCAACGTCCGTCCATCTGTCTATGCAAAGAATGGATGGGTGGTCAGCGGGAACAGGAGGAGCCATGGTCCTTCTCTCTCATGGGAGGCTCCCCTTCCTGGGATGCAGCTAGTGGCAACATTCGGGATGATGTGTAATTCACCTAGGAGAGCCTTTCTCACCTTGGAGTTTGCAAACATTAATTGTCCCCTAAGCCGCCTTCCAAGTGACAGTTCCCCCTTCCCTGGTGCATACTGGTGTTTTTGAATCATCTCAGCAAATGGAAGGCATAGAGCTCAGAATACTTGGAGGCATCTCACCAAACAAATGGTGGATAAGATAACTCAGACATTTATCACATTTGTGTATATTTTTGCGCAAAATGGAGGGTTATTTGCAGTGCTTGTTTAATACATAAGGGAACCCTTCTCAGGTTGTTTTGTTTTGCTTTTGCAAAAAAAAACATCCCTAAAGACAAAAATACAACACACCAACCAGGTTCAGGTCCTGAATAGGCTGTGCTAAGTATATCTGTTTTTTGTTTTGTTTTGTGTGTGTATGTGTGGGGGTTTTTTTTTGCAAAAAACCAAAACAAAACAATGGCTTCTACCTATCCCAGTCATTTGCCATGTCCCGTGAAGCCATTTCTGTGGCTACTAGATGTTCACAGGAATGGTCAGAGGAAAGAGCATATGTAGGTGTTGACCAGGCCCTCCAATTAGTTGTAATGAAAATAAAAACCCTTATTAATCTGTCGAGAGTGGTTAATGGTGTTTTCCTGCATTATGCAGGATTGGACTGGATGTCCCTTGGAGTCTCTCCTAACTCTTGGATTCTATGATTCAACAAGAAAAAGGAAAGTCAGCCATGTAGCAATTGTGAAGGGAAATTAACTATTTAGTATTGATGATGATGATGATGATGATGATGATGATGATGATGATATAGACACATGAGCAAAACTAAGCACAGGCTTGAACCCCTTCCAGCTGGCCATGTTTTTGCCCCCGACTTGTGCCGACTCTTTGCAATCAAGCCAAGAGAGTTTCCTCTCTTGGTGGGAATCCATAACTTCATCGGATCCACCCCAAGGATTCAGGAAATCGTTCATTCTTGGCCTAACTTTTCTGTCCCTTTGCCTTGCAGTACATCCTGGCTATTGCCCCAGAAGAGATGATGTTGCAGTCCCTTCAAAGCACTGTTCATGGGATTCAGATTGTGCCGTGGATGAGAAGTGTTGTCCCAGTGAAGAACACAAAAGGTGCACCAAAGCCATACCAGGTAAAGGCTCTTCAGCAGAACATGACCCTTGGGCACCCACCACTTTCCTCCACCTCTCTTTGCAAGGAACCCTGCTGGCTAGGTCTTCAAAAGAGGAAGCAGGAGTGTCCCCGAGGGCCATTACTTTCTCTCCCCCACCCATGATCCAAGACTCACAGAAAGCCACACCAAAGCTGTGCCAAAGAATGATCCTTCAGAATGAACCAAAGCTCTTCCAGAGAAGGGTCCTTGAGTATCTTCACCATGTTTCCAGGTCCTCTACCAGTTAGACCTCTAGAAAAGACCTTGCATGTGTAGCAGGTGTCCCCCCACCCAAGCTCCCAGACTCATGGAGGACCTCACCCTGCTCTCCCTCATAGAAGACCTTCCTTCAGTTTTCACTACCTCTCTTCTGGGTTAAACTAATGGATGAATTGCCAAAGTGTGCTGCACTCCTGTAGTAGAAGGCCTCACCAATGCTAATGCCAGAAAATGGTCCTTCAGCATGAACAGCACCTTCACTACATTGCCAAGGGCTCTGCTAGCTAGACTTCCAAAAGAGACCATGCATATGTGGCAGGTGTCTTTAGAGGCACTGCTTCTTTCCTCCAGCCAAATGCTTAGAAACATGGAGGGCCTCTTCAGTTGAGAGCTCCCTCTCAGTCCTTTTGCTGTCCAAATCAACTGGGCCAATGTCCAGCCGTGTGTCACCATTCCAAGTTTAATTTACCAACCATATGACACAGGACTTTGTGTCAGGGTGACCCTATTCCCACTGCCTTGTTGTAGGTCATGGCCCTTGGGAACAATCCAGGTACTGAGTGTACATTAACTCTTTCCACCTTTTACCTTGCCTAGTCCTTCTCCTGGGGATTATGTTCTACCTCTTGAGGAGTGGCTCTACACAGTTATCTGCTCCCATTGATGTCTTTTCCTTCTTCTGCAGCCAATCGAGGCCTTTGCCCCAAGAGAAGTCTACCACTGGAGTTTTTCCCATGTGAAGGACATTGCAGGGATGACCGGTCATGTTCCAAGGGGCAGAAGTGCTGCTTTGTTGGCTGTGGCCTGAAGTGCATCCCTCCAGAGACTCATCACAGCGTTGAGCGGGTGGCGCTGGATCAGGACCATGCTCTCACCTTGCCAGTTCACAGAGGTGAGTTGTGGGTCAGGGCAATGACAGGGCGTCACCAGGCTAGGTTTTTGAACTCATTCCAAAATCTGCAATAACCCTTTGAGGTTGTTGTTGTCTTGCTTGGGTCTCACCACATCCTTGCAAGGCTGAGAACCAGCAACCCAAACAAGGCCACATGAGAAGGCGTTATTATGATCATTTAAACAATGCAAGCATGATATACAATTTCAGTCTTTAGTCTTTTGCCTGGGTAGCTCAGTCTGTTGTTAACTGCCCTTGAATCTGGTTCACCCCATGGACAGCAAAGACCTCATCTCCCAATGTCTTTGGCTCTAGACAGGTTACTTGGTGCCCATTCCAATCATCAGCTGACCTGCATTCTACAATTCCTTTTCTTTCTTTCTTTCTTTCTTTCTTTCTTTCTTTCTTTCGAAATCAATACCTATTTATTTCATAGAATCATAGAATCAAAGAGTTGGAAGAGACCTCCTGGGCCATCCAGTCCAACCCCATTCTGCCAAGAAGCAGGAATATTGCATTCAAATCACCCCTGACAGATGGCCATCCAGCCTCTGTTTAAAAGCTTCCAAAGAAGGAGCCTCCACCACACTCTGGGGTAGAGAGTTCCACTGCTGAATGGCTCTCACAGTCAGGAAGTTCTTCCTCATGTTCAGATGGAATCTCCTCTCTTGTAGTTTGAAGCCATTGTTCCATTGCGTCCTAGTCTCCAAGGAAGCAGAAAACAAGCTTGCTCCCTCCTCCCTGTGGCTTCCTCTCACATATTTATACATGGCTATCATATGTCTCCTCTCAGCCTTCTCTTCTTCAGGCTAAACATGCCCAGCTCCTTAAGCCGTTCCTCATAGACCCTTGAGCTTGTTCTCCAGACCCTTAATTGTTTTAGTCGCCCTCCTCTGGACACATTCCAGCTTGTCAATATCTCTCTTGAATTGTGGTGCCCAGAATTGGACACAATATTCTAGGTGTGGTCTAACCAAAGCGGAATAGAGCATGGGGAGCATGACTTCCCTAGATCTAGACACTATGCTCCTCTTGATGCAGGCCAAAATCCCATTGGCTTTTTTTGCCACCACATCACATTGTTGGCTCATGTTTAACTTGTTGTCCACGAGGACTCCAAGATCTTTTTCACACGTACTGCTCTCGAGCCAGGCGTCCCCCATTCTGTATCTTTGCATTTCATTTTTTTGCCTAAGTGGAGTATCTTGCATTTGTCACTGTTGAACTTCATTTTGTTAGTTTTGGCCCATATCTCTAATCTGTCAAGAATTCTGCTCCTGTCCTCTGGACTATTGGCTCTCCCAATTTGGTGTCGTCTGCAAACTTGATGATCCTGCCTTCTAGCCCTTCATCTAAGTCATTCATAAAGATGTTGAACAGGACCGGGCCCAGGACGGAACCCTGCGGTACTCCACTTGTCACTTCTTTCCAGGATGAAGAGGAAGTATTTATTTATTTATTTATTTATTGATTTATATCATTTTTGCCCCACCCATATCAGCCCAAAGGCGACTACCTAGCCCTCCTGCAATCCAATCTGTGTGCCAAAATGTGCTGTAATGCCACTCTCTTCATTTGCAATGAGTAAGACAGCTATTCTCAGATGAGTTCCTTGGAAGACCCCCTTATCACTGGGATCCCTTTCCACTGATTCACCAACTTATGGTCGCCACTTCTAGAAGTTTTTGTGGGCATCTCTCAGTCCTTCAGTGTAACTCCAGGGTGTGATCAGGCTAGAATTTGACATCTGACCCACCATTAAATGATGGAGAAGTAACAAGTGGGCTTGGGACATTTGGTGCTCGCAGGGCATCTTCTTGCTCTTAATGTTGCCATAGATATCAAGTATGGATGTGTGGATCATGCACTCTGCTTGCACCATTTTGCTGGGTTTTCACATGAATGCAGAGGGAGCAGAGTGGTCTCCCTTCCTGAAAATTATTTCTTTATTGGGTTGTTGTAGGGTTTTTCGGGCCATGTTCTAGAGGCATTCTCTCCTGATGTTTCGCCTGCATCCATGGCAAGCATTTTCAGAGGTAGTGAGGTGTGACTGTTTCAACTGACCACCTTGATTAGCATTTGATGGTCTGACAGTTGTTTGGTGTGGCTTGTTAGTAACTGGGGCAATCTTTTGTTGAGAGGTGATTAGATGTCCCTAATTGTTTCCCTTCTGTTGTTTTGCTGTTGCAATTTTAGAGTTTTTTTTAATACTGGTAGCCAGAGTTTGTTCATTTTCATGGATTCCTCCTTTCTGTTGAAACTGTCCACATGCTTGTGGATTTCAATGGCTTCTCTGTGTAGTCTGACATGGTGGTTGTGAGAGTGGTCCAGCATTTCTGTGTTCTCAGATAATCTGTGTCCAGGTTGGTTCCTCAGGTGCTCTGCTGTGGCTGACTTCTCTGGTTGAAGGAGTCTGCAGTGCCTTTCATGTTCCTTGATTCGTGATTGGGCAAGGCTGCTGCGTTTGGTGGTCCATACGTAGACTTGTCCTCAGTTGCATGGTACACGGTAGACTCCTGCAGAGGTGAGAGGATCCCTCTTGTCCTTTGCTGAACGTAGCATTGGTTGGATTTTCTTGGTGGGTCTGTAGATAGTTTGTATGTTGTGTTTCCTCATCAGCTTCCCTCTGCGGTCAGGGGTTCCCTGGATGTCTGGCAAGAACACTTTCACTCTGGGAGGATCTTGGTCTTGACTCTTGTGGCTTCTTCTCGGTCTTGAAGCTCTTCTGATGTCTGAGGTGGAGTCTCCATTGGCTTGTAGAGCCCAGTTGAGGTGGTTATTTCTATATTTCATGTTCTTTTTTTCTGTCATTTTTAAAGGTTCCTGGCCATTGAATTCTACAGAACTTGAATCTCGGCCTGCTCGTGGTAAGTATGAGTTTTGTGTCATAAAGGCCATGTGATGTTTAGGATGCTCTAGAAAGACTCAGCATGTCTCTAGGTCTCGACATTTCCCTGCATTGTGCGCCAAGGCAGAGAATTCATTATTTTTCATTACTTCCTCCCACCCAAAATTGCTAATAATTTGGAACTACTCTTTCTGCATTTGGTTTAATGCAGATTGAGATAAGGCACTGCTTTATTGAACCAAGATCTTATGCTGAGGGAATGGAGCTCTTCCTCACACTCACATAATGATGACTTTCCAATGACCTGCATTGTTGCACAAACAAATGTGACATGAAATGCATGGGACCTTGTGTGTGCAATTTCCATCCTGTGCAATGTACAACAATGGGTAACGAGAATATCATGACAGTCTTATAGAAACAAGGACAACAGAGCAATGTATTCAGGTCCCTTTGTGCAATCTTGAACTGAAGTGCACGGAGAGGTAAGCCATGTCTTTGTGGGAACTTACACCTCACTGTTGTGAACCAGAAGCCTTAACAGAGCCAAACACAAGGGTAAAGGTCCAACAAAGTTTATTAAAGTAACAAAAATGGCTTAGAAACACTTAACTCAGTGTTACTAGCAAAACTGAAAGTCTGTAGCAAAAAGCCAAGCAAAAAATACAACTTGGAATATAATCCAGATTATACTGGGATATAATCTGGGATAACAAAAAGTATCAGCAAACTGCTTCAAAAACACAGAGTCCAATAAACATCAATAAACAAGGTAGGAGCAAGCAAAAACGTAGTCTAGAAACAGTCCAAGGTCAAGGCACGTCCAGAAGAAACTGTAGCAGTCCAAAGCGCGAAGTCGTCGTCCCAAAAACAATCCGAAGTCAGCAGGAAGATAGCAGTCAGCACTTACAGGATTCCAGAAGGTAGAAGCATGGAAACACAGCGATCTGCAGTCCCAGGACCCAAGGCAAGAGTAATGGCAGCAACAAAGTCCCAAGCCCAATACAACACTTTGCCTACTGCAAAGTTCCAATAGTTTGATACCTTACTTTTATCCTATAACTCCTCATCAGAGGTGGAGCTGGACTCCACCCTGTCTTCATCACTCTCAGGTGCCTTTGCTTCCACAGCTGCTCGCCACCGCCCGTCCCTCCAACTTTTCCAGCATCTATCAAGACTTAGATCACCCCATGTATTTCCAGGTTGCCAGTCTCCTGAAAACCCTTCAAACTCCTCACTTGATGTGGGTTGGTTAAATATGTCCCTGATCTCTTGTACACAGGTCCAATCCAACCCATCCTCCTCCCCGTCATCACTCCCAGTCCCATCACTCCCTGTGAACCCCATGAAGTCTTCCTCCTCAGTGGAGCATTAAGTATTTCATGGATCCGCTTCCTTTCCCTTTCTTCATCTGACTCTTGCTCCCGAGTAACCCGTTTCAAGCCTCTACTCCCATCTCCCTCCTCCTCCATCTCAGAGTCTGTGAAACCTTCAAATGACTCAGTATCTGTAGGTGTCATGAATATCTCCCTAATTCGCTTCCTTTGCTGCTCTTGTTCCAGCACCTGAGCAGCCCTCTTTCCCCTTCTACTACCAGTTGTATCTTGCTCAACACACTCTACTGCAACACCTCACTCCTCACTAGGATTCCAGACAGTATGATTTAGTATCTATATTTATTACAGGGCATTTCCCTGTAATTCAGATTTGCAGAATTTCTCCAGCTGCTTCCTGTCACTCCATCTAGGAACTGGTTTGCTGAACATCCCTTTGGTGGCAGCCTAACCATCCTCTGCAACAAAACTGCAAGGAAAAGCAAGCATTGTTTCAAATTTAACCTTCAGTCTCCATGGGAACTTTATATGCAAAAGTGCTAAAATTGCCCTTCAGAAGAAGTTGGGCATTTTTTGTCCTTCACAGAATGTCCAGAGTCAGTTGCAGAAGAGGAGTTGCAGATCGTACAGACTGAACATGCAGCTCCTCATGCAATGCACACTCGCATATTCATTTGCTATAATACACTCATATATTCAATTGTGCATTCAGTTGCGTGATGATGTTGCCATTTAATGCAAGAGTTGAACAGCACAATCTGTGTTTGAATTTGGAGACTGATACTATGGGTATAGAATAAAATTGACTACACCCAGTTTTAAATGCATTTTATTATTTTATTTTATTAGTTTACTAGCCATCCCCTGCCACGTGTTGCTGTGGCCCAGTCTGTATATATGTGTTATGTGTGTGTATATATGTGTTTATGTGACCGCGTGAGTGGCGCCACCTATGTGTAGAACTGTTAGTTGCAAGATTTAAACTGTTGTATCATGCTTAATCCTGCCTTTTTACCCTGCTTATGTATAGTTGGATTGATTGGTTATTTATAGCTGTCAATCAGTGTTGTTTGCACCAGTTGAATTGCTTTCTCAAGCTCAATTGTTTGGCTCCACCTCTTCCTGGAGGAGGGGAGTGCTTCCCTTTTTCATTCTGCCATCAGAGTTTCTATCGGATGGATGCGAGTAAGAGACTTGGCTCTAAAAGCCCCTGCTTAAATTACCTCTCAGCACCAATTCTAAGGTTTTTTACCCTTGGGACTCATGCTTTATGTCCAGATCATCCTGGACAACATTGAGGAGACCCAAGCACCTTCAAATTGGTTCTTTTGGCACCAGAGGAAGATCTTGTCCCTTCAACATAGGCCATTGGACTGGGGTTGTGTTTATTCTGATATTCACAGCCATTGAGGAAAGAGGAAACAGGAAAAGCTTCTCAGCTGCAAACTCCTTGAACTATATTTCCTTTATCCCTGTTGAAACATCAAGCTTATGCCTGAGAAAGATAACTCATTGTGAACAATAAATACCATTTCGAGTTATCTGTTGTGTTTTGGTCTTTGGGAGTTCCAGTTTCCTATAGGAGGGCAAGAAGCAATCCCCTGGGGAAAGATGCCACATCCATGTCTCTTTCATTAAGAGTTATAGCCCCCAGGTGCGACGGCACAGTTTATGTGTGTGTATATTTGTGTAACTGTGTATATATGCGTGTTTGCATGTGTATATATGTATATGGGTGTATATATGTGTGTGCATATCTGTGTGCAGATATGTATATATGTGTGTGTATTTTTGTGTTTATATGTATATATGTATATTGTGTATATGTCTGTGCTTGTTTATATGCATATTTGTATGTATATATGTATGTGTGCATGTGTGTAGATGTATGTGTCTTCTTGGGTATAAATATGTGTGTGTGTGTGTATATACATGTGTATATGTATGAGTGTGTGTGTATATATGTGGTGTATTTTTTGGGATTTTTAAGTCAGTTATGCTAGGGTTTTGTGTGTGTTTATGGGTGATGAACACTCGTTGGACTGTTAGGTGTATTGTGTCAAAATTCCGTGTCAATTCGTCTAGTGGTTTCTGAGTTATGTTAATCCCACAAACAAACATTACATTTTTATTAATATAGATTACTTTGTTTTATTGGTGAACTTTAACCTGAAATTTAACTGTGTGCATCCCATTAAGGATAAAGGAGCCCCAGGTGGTGCAGTGGGTTAAACCACGGAGCTGCTGAACTTGCTGACCGAAAGGTCACAGGTTCAAATCTGGGGAGCGGCATGAGCTCCTGCTCTTAGGCCCATGTTGCCCTCCAGGACAGAAATAATCCTCTGACTTTAAAACACCAAACGTTGTGTAGGGAAAAACAATCCTTTTATTGAAGATAAGTAAAAGCAGAAAAGTAAAAAAAGCACTTTAAAGGAATAGGTAAATCCAATTAGGTAAGCAGATAAGCAGGAACAAATTAGTCCAAGGTAGAGCTCAGCCAAGTCCCAAAACAAAGTCCACACTTTTCTAACAAAATCCAAAGAACCAGGAAACGTTGATTCAAGGCATGAGTATGTAATCACAAGAGACAGAGTCAAACCATGAAACAAGAAATCCTTAAACATGAATGTTCCAAGCAAAACTTCCATGATACAAGAACAAGAACTTAACGGGATTCTAAATTATGCTTCATCTGGCTATATTTCCCATGTTTGGAACTTTTATCCCCTCATTAAGCCATTCCAATCACTCAGGAATTGGTTTCACTTTTCTTGAACGCCCTTTATCTTTTTCTGTCGGAACCTGGCAGAACGCCAAAGGCCTTGGTCGAGCTGTCTGTTTTAGCTAATTTCCACCTGCCTGTCTATATGCTCATTAGTTTCTACAGGTGCCAAGTTGTTTTCAAGCCCCAAATCCTGGGAACTCTCTGGGAGCAATTCAGGGAGTAAACCATCATCCTAATACCCTGTAGGAACATTCTCATGAGAAACTACACTTTGAACAGGTGTCTCTCTGTCATTCTCTGCATCATCAATATCACTGACCAAACCATTGCCATCTTGAACCTCTTTGACATCATTAACCACATCCAAAGCACCCTGATCCAGAAACACAATCACAGGCTGAACTCCAACAGCCCAGCCTCTGCCAATCTAGAAGTTTGAAAACTTACTTACTTTTACTTACTTAGGCGATCCCTCGTAGTCCGAGGATGATGGTCCTCCAAGTTCGGTGTCCTGGGGGTGGGTTCGTAGATGGCTGTGGAGCCCAATTCTTGACCTGCATCTTCTCCAGCATTGAGGGTATTGGTTTCCAGGTGGGAGGTGGTCTCGGTCAGGGTTGGCTTGATGCATCCTCTTGGCACGTTTCTCTCTTTCACCTCCATTCGTGCCTCTTCAAATTCTGCAGCACAGTTCTGCAGTTTGAAAACATGCAAATAGATCAATAGGTACCAGATAGTGCTCCATGCGGTCATGCTGGCCACATGACCTTGGAGGTGTCTACAGACAATGCTGGCTCTTCGGCTTAGAAATGGAGATGAGCACAACCTCTAGAGTCGGACACAACTGGACTTTATGTCAAGGAGAAACCTTTATCTTTACTATCACATTATATTGAAAGGGTTAACAGAACTTAGAAGTGTTTAAGTGCTGAAATGCAAACCTAAAGAGAGGCTTGTCCCTCTCCTCTGGCCTGCAGAAAACCAAAAGCTAAGAGGAGATAATGAATCTGGAAGACACAAGATACTGTATTGTCAAGTTCGCCTAGGGAGTACTCAGGGTGGGTTAACACCCAAAATGCTTATCTGTAACAATAATGTGTGTGTTTACGTAGTTTGTAGAAGGTTAGCAGTTAGAGACACTGAAGTACCAAAATATGAGAAAAACATGTTTTTGAATGGATGATCCGATAAGAGAGGTGTGTGCCCATGACACAGCGAAAAGACATGTATATAAGGTGACTGAAATATCCAAATATCAGAGACAGCCTTTTTTGAAGACACTGGTTTGTCTTGGTTGTTTCTCCCTGTGTGGCCACACTTGAAATAAAGAGATTTCTGCTTTACCTCTGGAGACTAGACTCTCTTCATTTTGCTGCCCTCTGTGACGGACTCAACAAGGACCCCAAGCAGGGGGTCCCCTACAATATGTATTTTAATAGTCTTGTGTTTTATCTCTCTGTTTTAACCTTGTTTTACTTGCCTCGAGCTGCAAGGAGGGATGGGTCATAAAATTCTTATTGTTGCTATTTAATGCAGTTTCAGTGACTGGACTGACCTTGAAGGAGCTGGGGGTGGTGACGGCCGACAGGGAGCTCTGGCGTGGACTGGTCCATGAGGTCACGAAGAGTCGGAGACGACTGAACGAATGAACAACAACAACAATGCAGTTTCATCCCTATTTAATTGCCATGGGTCAGTGCTATAGACACGTGGTAGTTTTACTTTTACACAATACAATCTCTGCCAATGAGTACTGCTGTTTTAGCAAATTCCCCCAAAATCTGCTGCTTTAGCACTGCTGCTTTAGCAAAATCTCCCAAGCAACATAGCATTGACCCAGGGCAATAAAAATGGCATTAAACCGCATTAATTCTCCAGTATGTATGCAACTCAGATGCAGGATCTCAACCATTAAGTCACAATGTGGAGGTTGATCTCTGTGCAGAAGTGACATAGTTTACGCCGAGTGAGCTTAGGCCCTCCTGGTGTTTTGGACTCCAGCTCCCACAATTCCTAACAGACTACCGGCTGTTAGGAATTATGGAAGTTGAAGTCCAAAACACCTGGAGGGCCAAAGTTAGCCCATGCCTGGTTTAGCCCATAATGTGCTAACATGGCGCCAGTGGGAGCCTGATCAGTGGGAATATTTGAGTCAATAGGAGTATGCACTGTTAACCTTTCTTTCCTCTTTTGCAACGGTGACATTGCCCCAGTCCCTCTTAATGGGCATCTCCTCTGTGCCTAGATTTCTGCCACCTTCCTAGTGCCTCTGGCTCTTGTGACGCCCCCTCTGTCCACCGCGTCTTCTACAACTCCCAAGCTAAGAGGTGCGAGAGGTTCCTTTACAAAGGCTGCGGAGGCAACAGGAACAACTTTGCAACACAACTGGAGTGTCTCCGGAGCTGCTCCAATCCAGGTGAGAAGGATACTGAAGGGACTGGAGTGAAGGCAGGCTCAACAGAGATTAAAGGGACAACTCCTACTGCAGGCAAACTAGAGCCATCCCACTGAATGAATAGGGTGTCTACGTGTGGCCTCGTTGGCCCCTTCATTGTCTGAATGTTCAAGAATCGGAGCAATGGGTCTACTCTAGTAGGACTCACAAATGGCAGAATTGGGTTAGGACTAAATGGCCCTGTTCCAACTCTACGATTCTTTAATTCTATGAAATAGCATTCATAATTGTGTGTATATACATGTGAGATGTGTGTCCGTGCGCGCACACATGCACACACACACACAGTATGACCCCCAGATCTATGGGACTGGTACTTGTGATTTCATCTATATACTCTTTCTAAACCATTTCCAAACCCTCCAGCATGATTCTGTGGAAGCTTCAACCAGAGCTTGATAATAGATTTGAACTGGTGGATCTAGAAAGGCTAGTGAGATGTTTTCTATAGGCATTCTCTTGGTCCTTCAACATCGTTCTGGTGGATCTAGAAAGGCTAGTGAGATGTTCTCTATAGGCATTCTCTTGAATGAGATGTTTTCTATAGGCTTTCTCTTGGTCCTTCAACATTGTTCTTGTGGATCTAGCAAGGCTAGTGAGATGTTCTCTATAGGCATTCTCTTGGTCCTTCAACATTGTTCTGGTGGATCTAGAAAGGCTAGTGAGATGTTCTCTATAGGCATTCTCTTGGTCCTTCAACATCATTCTGGTGGATCTAGCAAGGCTAGTGAGATGTTCTCTATAGGCATTCTCTTGGTCCTTCAACATTGTTCTGGTGGATCTAGAAAGGCTAGTGAGATGTTCTCTATAGGCATTCTCTTGGTCCTTCAACATTGTTCTGGTGGATCTAAAAAGGTTAGTGAGATGTTCTCTCTAGGCATTCTCTTGGTCCTTCAACATCGTTCTGGTGGATCTAGAAAGGCTAGTGAGATGTTCTCTATAGGCATTCTCTTGGTCCTTCAACATCGTTCTGGTGGATTTAGAAAGGCTAATGAGATGTTCTCTATAGGCATTCTCTTGGTCCTTCAACATCGTTCTGGTGGATCTAGAAAGGCTAGTGAGATGTTCTCTATAGGCATTCTCTTGGTCCTTCAACATCATTCTGGTGGATCTAGAAAGGATATTGAGATGTTCTCTATAGGCATTCTCTTGGTCCTTCAACATCGTTCTGGTGGATCTAGAAAGGATATTGAGATGTTCTCTATAGGCATTCTCTTGGTCCTTCAACATCATTCTGGTGGATCTAGAAAGGCTAGTGAGATGTTCTCTATAGGCATTCTCTTGGTCCTTCAACATTGTTCTGGTGGATCTAGAAAGGCTAGTGAGATGTTCTCTATAGGCATTCTCTTGGTCCTTCAACATCATTCTAGTGGATCTAGAAAGGCTAGTGAGATGTTCTCTATAGGCATTCTCTTGGTCCTTCAACATCATTCTGGTGGATCTAGCAAGGCTAGTGAGATGTTCTCTATAGGCATTCTCTTGGTCCTTCAACATCATTCTGGTGGATCTAGAAAGGATATTGAGATGTTCTCTATAGGCATTCTCTTGGTCCTTCAACATCGTTCTGGTGGATCTAGAAAGGATATTGAGATGTTCTCTATAGGCATTCTCTTGGTCCTTCAACATCGTTCTGGTGGATCTAGAAAGGCTAGTGAGATGTTCTCTATAGGCATTCTCTTGGTCCTTCGACATTGTTCTGGTGGATCTAAAAAGGTTAGTGAGATGTTCTCTCTAGGCATTCTCTTGGTCCTTCAACATCGTTCTGGTGGATCTAGAAAGGCTAGTGAGATGTTCTCTATAGGCATTCTCTTGGTCCTTCAACATCGTTCTGGTGGATTTAGAAAGGCTAATGAGATGTTCTTTATAGGCATTCTCTTGGTCCTTCAACATCGTTCTGGTGGATCTAGAAAGGCTAGTGAGATGTTCTCTATAGGCATTCTCTTGGTCCTTCAACATCATTCTGGTGGATCTAGAAAGGCTAGTGAGGATGTTCTCTATAGGCATTCTCTTGGTCCTTCAACATCGTTCTGGTGGATCTAGAAAGGATATTGAGATGTTCTCTATAGGCATTCTCTTGGTCCTTCAACATCGTTCTGGTGGATCTAGAAAGGCTAGTGAGATGTTCTCTATAGGCTTTCTGTTTGTCCTTCAACATCGTTCTGGTGGATCTAGCAAGGCTAGTGAGATGTTCTCTATAGGCATTCTCTTGGTCCTTCAACATCGTTCTGGTGGATCTAGAAAGTCTAGTGAGATGTTCTCTATAGGCATTCTCTTGGTCCTTCAACATCATTCTGTGGTATTCTTCTACGAGAAATCTTTTGTTTCAATAGGGTTTGCTATTATCTGTGATTTCATATTTCTTCAATCAGTACAGACATCTATCCCCTGTGGATATGGGGGCTGTGTTGTGCTACCCTCATTCTAGAAGAACAGCTGTTATTATTTCTCCTCAAGTCAACTTTGACTTTTGGTGACCCTATGAATAGAGAACTCCAAGTTAACTGCATATGTGCATATGTGCATATAAGCCGCACATGATCCTGGTCTCCAAAATTCCCAATGGAGGTTTGGACAAATAGAAATGCACTTCAGTCTTATGTTGGTCTGCTCCTTCCTTCCAGGGATCTGTCAGCTCCCAATGGACCACGGAATAGGCGATGCCCTGAGGCCTCGCTACTTCTACAACTCCGACTCCAGGACCTGTGAAACCTTCATCTACCGAGGACACCGGGGCAATGCCAACAACTTCTGGGAGGAAGAAGATTGCCTTCAGTTCTGTGGATCCCGTGGTAATCAGCTGGCTAGCCAGGGAAGCGGGGGAAGCTGCAGTGCACCCAACAGGCAATCCCCCCCCCCCCATTCCTCACCTTGGAGTATGCTGCATTAGAAAGATACTAGAAGGTGCAGATGAGGAACATCTGAAGACCCAATAATCCCCTGCACTATAGCATAAAATGCATATACAGTAGAGTCTTGGAATCTGCTCGAGTTTGTTTCCAGGACCCCCTCTGGAGACCAAAATCCATGAACGCTCAAGTCCCATTGTATACAATGGCATAACCTGATATATACGCTCGGCAGTCAGGCTGCTCACGGGAGTGGGGTACAGGCAGCGTACAACCCCCTTGTTACACCAGTCCCACTGGCTGCCTATTAGCTTCCAAGCACAATTCAAACTGCTGGCCTTGACCTATAAAACCCTAAACTGCTCTCCAGCTTACCTGTCTGAACGTATCTCCCTCTAATCCCCAAGAACCTTAAGATCGTCTGGAGAGACCCTGCTCTCAGTCCCACCACCATCATAATCACGTTTGGTGGGAATGAGAGACAGGGCCTTCTGGATGGTGGCCCCTCAGCTGTAGAACGCCCTCCCTAAGGAGATTTGATCTGCCCCCTTCCTCATAACCTTCTGGAAGAAGCTCAAACCTGCTTATGGGATCAAGCGTTCGCAGGATAGATGGTTTTAACGGAACGTGTTTTAGTTGATGGCAATGGAGTGAAGATAGTTTTACTGGACTGTTGGACTGATGGCTATGGATTGATTTGGAGGATGACGTGAAATGGCAAATTGTTTTAAAGTATTTGTTTTTAATGTAGGTAATGGGTATATTATGTTGTGCCTGCTGGTAGCCGTCCTGAATACCTCTGTGGAAGCAAGAATATAGAAATGCTCTTAATAAATAGATAGATAGATAGCTTGGATTTGCAGCAGAAGCGTCATATCCAGCTGTTAATGAGGCTCACGAGGAAACAGGGTTTATTCTGGGATGCTTCAGGGTGATCCCAGAGTTTTGTAGGGATTATTATTATTATTATTATTATTATTATTATTATTATTATTATTTTACTCCATTTATATACCGCTTTTCTCAGCCCTCGGGCGACTCAAAGCGGTTTACAGTAGCAAAATTCAATGCATGAACATCATAAAACATCATAAAACAGATTAAAACAATTAAAAACCATAGCATCAATATGCAAACATTACAAAATTATAAAACATTACAAAATCAATACTACATAACTCATGGCGTCTTTTTGTTAAAATCAGTATCCATTCTCATCATCCAGTCGTTCCATGTTGCAATATTTGTTACACTGCCTTTTCAAATGCCTGCTCGAACAACCAGGTCTTAACCTTCCTACGGAATGCTAACAGAGAAGGAGCCAATCTAATATCTCTGGGAGGGTGTTGCATAGCCGAGGGGCCACCACTGAGAAGGCCCTGTCTCTCGTCCCTGCCAAACGTATTTATGACACAGGCGGGATCGAGAGCAGGGCCTCCCCAGATGATCTTAATGTCCTAGCTGGTTCACAGGAGGAGATACGTTGGCTTGGTGCATCTGGCTAACGTTGCCTTCTGTGCCTCTGCTTTTGGCCAATTGTTTCTCTTCTCTTTTGCAGCTGCCTAAATCAACAGAGAGAACCTCCTGAAGGACTTGAAACTCCTGGAAGTTACTCCTGGATCCTCCCTGGAGTATGAAGAGACCTGCGTGCCAGTATCTTCCATTCACTTGTGTCCTTCCATCGTCACCCTATTGCTCTGTCTCCTTTTCATCTCAGACTGCTTTAGCAGCCCAGCTTGTCACCCCACTTTCTTCATCCTTTCTGACCATTCCCCTAAATGTCTCCACTCCCATTTCTTCCAGCTCTCCCTTTGAGAAGCCCATTTTGGCACAGTCAACAGTACCTGCCATTGCACCTTCCTATATTTCTTCTTCCCTGTTTTCAACTCACCTTCCTACTTTCATCTCTCTATTCAAGTCTAAACATAGGGTGTATCATCGCTGTTGAACTGATGTAGTTTGACCCCTCTTTTTCTGCCATAAAACATTGCCATAAGATTTCTGGAAGTTGTACTGTTGACAAACTCCTGCACTGTTTGGCAATGACAGCTAAAGGAGAAAATGCCTCTAGAACATGGCCATATAGCCTGAAAAAACCTACAACAACCCAAAGCTAAAGGTCTTGTAAGGCTGCTGCAACAACAACAACAACAACAACAACAACAACAACAACAACACTTAATGTATACTTTGCCACCATCTCCCCAACGGGGACTTGGGGTGGCTAACGTGAAGCCAAGCCCAACAATTTCAAAAAATCAAAATAAAATGCATACAACAAATAATAACATCAAATGAAATATAAACAAAGCGGATTAATACCAAATCAAATACAGAAAATGAAATCTATATAAATAAAAAAGTAAAGTTCATTTGTGGGATTAACATAACTAAAAAAACACTGGACAAATTAACACCAAATTCAGACACCATACACCTATCAGGCCAACGAGTGACCATCATTCATTTATTTATTTATCGTGTCAGGAGAGAACCAGAACAGTTGTATTGCATTAAAAAACAGACAAACAAACAAAACCATTGTGCTGGTACATCTGTACCAAGAGCTCTGTTGCAACCCAGAAGCAGGAAACGAGACCATTAGATAACCATCCACCACACTTGACTGTGAGGAAAAACAATCCCTTTTTATTGATGAAAAATGGTTACAAAATAGAAGGAAATGCAAAGTCAAAAAGCCACTGTAAAATTCAGCAATCAAGAATATCCATGAACTAGATCAAAATTCAAAAAGCCACACTGTAAAAAACCTGGAACCTGTTAGCAATTCACTAACCATACTTGGATTACTAGAAGCCTCTTGGGATGTAGGCCACGGGAAACGGGAAATCTGCCAAGGTAATGCCTCAGTCTAAACGATGCCTGATCTAACGAGACAACCCGGCGAGAGGCACTTAAAACTGAAGAAACTGTTTCGTGACACGCCTCCAGGCTTTGAAGCCTGTGTTTCCTTTTCCCTTAATCTGCTTGACCTTTGCAGACTCTGCGATTCACTCCTGTTTTTCCAAATCTGTCTTTTTCTATCCTCATTAAGGAAGCCAGGTGTTAACTCCTCTGGAGAGCTATCACCGCCTGGCTCTGCAACATTCTCATCAGAATGTGTAGTTTCACTTTCCAAGCCACTGACCTCAGTATCAACATTTTCCTTACCATCAGGGAAAAATACATGTTCAGTAACATCAGGAAATACAATCAGATAATCAAGTTCAGGTTCACACACAAGCTGAACCCCAACAAGCTCCAACTTTATTTTCTTTCTATTAAGTGTTTGCATGCATTCCAAAGTTTCAGGGATTCTGCAAAAAGGTGGCTTCCTTTGGTTTGCAGTCTTAGGGCAAGCCACCTGTCTGGATCCGCCCCTTCTCCCAGGGAGATGGGAAGGGAAGAGGGGGCCATTTTTAGTTAGTCTTAGTGAGGAAAGCTAAGTTAGAGGACGTGGACAAGCTTCACCTGCAGAAAAGCTTCATTTCTCAAGACATTCCGGGGGGAAATTCCAAAGCTCTGGCTGGGAGCTTGCAGCCTCTCAGCCTTACAGCATCTGAGGGAAACAGCCCTAAAGTCTTAAAGAAATTCCAGAGGGAAAACAGCTTTACAGACCCAAAGAACTCCAGCTGGAGAATCTACAAGCTTTGTCTGGTAGGTTTACTCGGTACCAAGACGCAGTTTGGAATCGGTAGTAGATCCCACACCAACAAAGCTTAGATAACAGACAGCCTGGGAGAGGTTAAAAAAGGGTTTTCCTCTCAAAGTATAAGAACAATTAATGAAGACAGTTGCCTGTCCCTTGTGGACAAGATTAAGGAAGCCACCAGTTGATTGAAAGCCTTGAAGCATTGGTTTGACTCATTGAAGATTTGAGAAATATCTGTTTAATTTGTTCAATAATAAAGGACTTTGTTTAACCTTTCAAGCCATCTAAAGACCATTTCTTCGGGGAAATCCTTGAGGGCCTCTTTCGTGGCACCCTGGCTTCCTGGGCACAAGGTGCACCTCCTATTTCAAAAGACAATTATTACAGGCCCAGCGCGTGACAGAACAACCATCATTTATAAAAACACTGAAAAACACAACAGAAGAGACTTAAAAAGCCAAAAAAACAATAAATAAATGACAGTGCATGTGCAAAACCATATATACACACATATACACAAATATATACATGCACAAAACACATATATACAGACTGGGCCACACAAGGCATGGCAGGGGATGGCTAGTAAAATAATAAAAATGTGCACAGTGGGCTGGGCCAAGTTAAAAGGGTAGAATTAAAATATAAAAACCTTGGGTGAGATGGATGAATAGGGTAGTGTGCCTGGTGAGGGGATTTCAGGTGCAACACCCATGATTCCACAACTTTGAGCCATGGCAATTCGCATGATTCCAAACTGTATTCCTTCTACAGTGGAGATGCACCCTTAGATTATAATCTCCTTGGGATGGAGACCTGGCTTTGCTCATGTTCCTCACTGTATCAAATGTTACACAAATGGATAAAAAGCATTGTTTCACAGAAAATCGCTTCTTGGACATTTTTGCTTGGAGAAGCTGGGAGGTGGAATTGGGAACCCAGACTTATGTCATAGAACCATAGAATCAAAGAGTTGGAAGAGACCTCATGGGCCATCCAGTCCAACCCCATTCTGCCAAGAAGCAGGAATATTGCATTCAAAGCACCCCTGACAGATGGCCATCCAGCCTCTGTTTCAAAGCTTCCAAAGAAGGAGCCTCCACCACACTCCGGGGCAGAGAGTTCCACTGCTGAACGGCTCTCACAGTCAGGAAGTTCTCCCTCATGTTCAGATGGAATCTCCTCTCTTGTAGTTTGAATCCATTGTTCCATTGCGTCCTAGTCTCCAGGGAAGCAGAAAACAAGCTTGCTCCCTCCTCCCTGTGGCTTCCTCTCACATATTTATACATGGCTATCATATCTCCTCTCATCTTTCTCTTCTTCAGGCTAAACATGCCCAGCTCCTTAAGCCGCTCCTCATAGGGCTTGTTCTCCAGACCCTTGATCATTTTAGTTCCCTCCTCTGGACACATTCCAGCTTGTCAATATCTCTCTTCAATTGTGGTGCCCAGAATTGGACACAATATTCCAGGTGTGGTCTAACCAAAGCAGAATAGAGAGGGTAGCATGACTTCCCTAGATCTAGACACTATGCTCCTATTGATGCAGGCCAAAATCCCATTGGCTTTTTTTGCCGCCACATCACATTTGGTTATGTGGCCAGTGATTATCCAAGGACTAGATCTTTTTCATTGCTCTACTAATTTCACAATCCAAGAAAGGGACAAAGGACTTTAGACCAGTGTTTCTCAACTTTACTACAGTACTTCATGTTGTGGTGACCCCCAACCATAACATAATTTTCACTGCTACTTTATAGCTGTGATTTTGCTACTGTTATGAATTGTCATGTAAATATCTGATATGCAGGATGCATGCTCATGCACTGGGCCACGTTTAGCATATGCCCAAATTTGAATACTGGTGGGGTTGGAGGGGGATTGATTTTGTCATTTGGGAGTTGTAGTTGCTGGGATTTATAGTTCAACTACAATCAAAGAGCATTCTGAACTCCATCAACCAATGAATTGAACCAAACTTGGCACACAGAACTCCCATGACCAACAGAAAATACTGGAAGGGTTTGGTGGGCATTGACCTTGAGTTTGGGAGTTGTAGTTCACCTACATCCAGAGAGCACTGTGGACTCAAACAATGATGGCTCTGGACCAAACTTGGCACAAATACTCAATTTACTTACTTACTTTACTTTACTTATGCGATCCCTCGTTGTCCGAAGATGATGGTCTTCCAGGCTCATTGCACTGGTGGTGGGGTCTGTAGGTGAATGTGGAGCCCTATTCTTGATCTGCATCTTCTCCCGCAGTGAGGACATTGGTTTCCAGGTGGAAGGCGGTCCCGGTCGGGGTTGGCTTGACAAGCCTTCCTCTTGGCACGTTTCTCTCTTTTGCCTTCCATTCATGCCTTTTCAAATTCCGCAGCACTGCTGGTCACAGCTGACCTCCAGCTAGAGCACTCAAGGGCCAGGGCTTCCCAGTTCTCAGTGTCTATGCCACAGTTTTTAAGGTTGGCTTTGAGCCCATCTTTCAATCTCTTTTCCTGCCCTCCAACATTCCGTTTTCTGTCTTGAGTTCGGAGTAGAGCAACTGCTTTGGAGGATGATGGTCGGGCATCCGGACAATGTGGCCGGTCCAGCGGAGTTGATGGCGGAGGACTATCGCTTCAATGCTGGTGGTCTTTGCTTCTTCCAGCACGCTGACGTTTGTCCGCCTGTCTTCCCAAGAGATTTGCAGGATTTTCCGGAGGTAACGCTGATGGAATCGTTCCAGGAGTTGCATGTGACGTCTGTAGACAGTCCACGTCTCGTAGGTGGACAATTTCAACAGAAAGGAGGAAACCATGAAAATGAACAAAATCTGGCTACCAGTATTTAAAAAACTCTAAAATTACAACAGCAAAACAACAGAGAGGAAACAATCAGGGACAGCTAATGACCTCTCAATGAAAGATTCCCCCAGGCATTCACAAGCCACACCAAAACACTGCCAGGCCATCAAATGCTAATCAAGGTGACCATTCACACCT